TCGTCCACCAATTTGTCGGTTTCTTCCCAAGTTCTCTTGCATAATCATGTCACGATATCAGATATGTGAAAAGAACTATGGTAGTATTTGACATTGCGTTTGAAAAAGCCGAGTTTGAAATGGCCTTACTTGATAGAAATCATCTTGACTGGTGTTTAACTTAGGCGTTTGGCTCTTATTGCCTTCACCTGAAGTATCGAGCAAATTCGCCAATCCGGTAACGAATTCCTCCTCATTTATCTGGCGGTTTCCGCTTCTGTCAAAGACCTCAATGACCTTTAAAACTACTTCGTCCACGTCAAAAGGTATGTCACCAAACTTGATGCCCATCATTAGTTCCTTCAGTTCAGATTGCGATATGCTGTTGTCTCCATTACGATCAATCTGTTCGAATAATCTGAAACCAAAATGCAGATAGTCATAATTCACAGGAGAATAACTAACTACTTAGTTCTCTCAATAAGTTACTGATAGTAGCACATCGGAAAGAAATTAACAAAGCCTAACCTTCTAATAGCAGGTAGATCAGGTGTGCCATTTTCTGTGAATAGGGTTTCAATGGACTTGGTCTGTACATGCGCAAGAATTTCTGCGATGATTTGCTCTTTCAGTTTGCGTTCTTCCTTCTTCTTCTGAATAAAAGGTCGAAAGAGCTGGAAAATACTTCTGAACAGTTTAATTGCACATTCATCATAGATGGAAATTTAACTTGCAGAATTCATCCCCTCAACTGCAAAAGTACCTGATACAAGTCCTTAAAAGAGTTTCTTGAGTAAAGTTGCTTGTCCATCGCAATCTTTGCCTCCTCGAGCCAATTCGTGACTCCAGCGACAAATTCGTCTTTGCTTATACTTTGGTCACCGGCAATGTCAAATTCCTTTATAATTTCATCTACTGCTTTATCTTTGTCCATGTGCTCGTGTTTGAACTTGATTTCTAGCAACAGCTCTTTTAATTCAGATGGCGATATAACATCGTCCCCATCTTGATCAATTTCTTCAAATAGCCTGCAGTTTGCAAACCCTTTAGTACCAATTAGAACGACACCATCTTGCTCATATCAGGTGAAGTGACACATCGTAGATGAAGACTAGCCTCCTTATAGCACGTGTGTTTGGCGCTCCATCCTCTGTGAGAAGTCTTTCTAGCGCGTGTCGTTGCAGATGTTGTATGATTCGAAGTTTGAGGTGCTCATGTTTCACATACTCGAGTCTTCTCTTTTGAATCCACGCCCTTGGCTCAAATATCTGCAACAAGTAGCCAAAGGAAATGCGAAGTTGGACATTTAAACTGCTCGAAAACATTAGTTATTGCTTTCTCAACGATCCCAAATATTATGGCAAATGAACATAAAGCTAAACTTTACACCTTATCTCTATACATCCAGCTTTTGAACACTAGGCTCAGTATCACTACTAAATTATGGAAGCCTCAAAGCTTATTTTTACATGTAAAAAGGCTTCATGTTAGGTCAGCAATGTATGTAAAAATATGGGCATGCATAAGTTACCTGATAGAAGAAGTATAAGAGCAGCAACCCAACTGAAACAGCGAGCGCACACGGGATCACAATGCGTTGAGCTGAATATATTGAGAAAATATCCGGGATTTGTATCATGATGAATGGTAATACTGAGATTACCATTATCCTGGCAGTGTAGCTAGTCTCCAAATCAGTGATGATACCGGAGCCTGTGTTTCCAAATAAGAAAGGTTAATCAGATTCGTCTTTAAGTTATAGATAACATCACCGATTTTCTTTCTCTTATTGCTTTTTGAGCTATTCCCACAGCCGTTAATGTATTCGCACGAAACTATATGTAAAGGTCATCCATTTGAATATTAAGGATTTCAGAGATTTAAGAGGATAGTTAGGACAGAACAACCCAACTTGGAAGCATATGAATGAAGTTGGAGCATGTCCACGTGCACGAGAAAATGCCTGCAACAAGATAGTGTGATCTTTGCCGCAGTAGTCCATGAAACAGAAAAAACGTAAGACCTGTTTCTTGAAAATTTTCCTCTCAATAGTCTTTAGTCCTTGATTCTTGGATTTTCTCGTACTAGTACAGCACCTTATATCCAAGTACATTCTACCTACGTACTCTCTTCTCAAATCTTGACATGATGAAGTCAATGCTTGATGAAAATCTGGAAATACTACCTTTCAAGGAGGATAAGAACTTCTTCCATGAAAATTTGCTTGAATTTGAATTTGAAGTGTTGGGTTCCATCCCATCACGGAGTTCACTGCTACCAAGGAGGACACAAGTTCCCCATAACAATGTCAGAAGCAGGATTGAGGATCCGGCCAGCAAGCCAACACCAGTCACGACATATTCCTGTGCCACCTCTTCGCCATTTAGAAGTCCCGATGCTGGAAAAAAGCAGGACGAATATTTAAAATTAAGATGGATTCCCTTCCCCCCCGCCCCCTCAGTTAAGGTTCTAGTGAGATGTAATTTCATGTCACAGCTTTTGTTTCCAGGAATTTTCTCTTTAGTGAATCTGAATGACAAAACTTCAGCTGTAGAAATGATTGGAGAGAGCGACCAGAGCTTATTAGGGAAGAGCGAGTTACTGCGATGTACAATCTTGGTACTCGATTGAAAAAAGAAAATTAACAATTCACAAGTTTTGCAAATGTATAACTCATGAATAAAGAAAGGTTCATTGTCCCACGATAATCCCAACATCACAATTTCTCTTTCGAAACTAAAACTCATTCTTATCTTAAGAGTCTCAAACAAGTTTCTGTTTCAGCTTCCTCCTTTCTTTAACTACTGATTTCACGTTACTCCTGGTTTCGGAATTATTCTTTCATCCATAATGTTTTACACATGATAAAAAAATTCAAATCTAAATAATGTGAATCTGAATTCCGGAAAGAGCAATTGGGATACATCATCATTGAAAATTGACGGAAGATGATAAGCTTCCTGTTACGTGATATACAAGCTGCCAAGTGACATTTGGAAGTTGAATGAGCCAAGAGAAACCTCAACACTACAAAGAGTCAGGAGGCATACATGGTGGCCCTGCCGTGGCAACTTGAAAGATTTGGTCATGTTTGGAGGCATGAGGCCAGCTCCAACGTCTCGTGGCTACTTTTGATGATCAAGTAACTTACATTGACACAAAAAAATTTGCCAACGAGCAGCAATTTTTCATTTGATCCCATTTACACCATACTTGTATCTTGTTCCTTTCGAATTCTAACTCGAAATTTCCAATTTTATCGACACGTCTTCAATTTACAGTGAATTTTGAAGAGTTCATTAGCTCTCAGAATCCATCTTTTGATTCTTACTAAAGCAAATGCTTAAAGCAGAAACTTGGCCATCTAAGAAGAAGAAGAAGAAGGCAACGATGAACAGAAAAGTAGAAAGATTATGAAGATGCATACCTAGAAGTATTAAGGCCTCCGGTAGAGCACTAAGGACATGGAACGCACTGGCACCAAATATTCCAGGACCGAGCATCTTAAATATCTGCTTGCTCCCGGAAGCAACGTAGGACTCCCCGTGAAACAGCAGATACTCATAAACCAACATCAGGAACAGGTGACCTGCTGTGCTGTACGAGCATGGCAAGAATCCATACATCTGCTCACAAACTTCAACCTCATCGTCCCAAACACCCGCTGTTCCTTTGAGAAGAAGCAAATTAGGAGGTCCATTATGCTGATCATGGCCACGATCAACACCGTCTGAAATTAGCCGCGAAGAATCACCCGGCACAGACCGGCCATCGACTGTCGAGATTACTAGAAGAATTGCGACAAGAGCGAAGATGCTCCGGATGCACATTATATGCAGAGCCATGCGTATGCTGTGTGTAGATGAATTGAGGAGAAGAGTTTGATAACTGACGAGGGAAATATCAGAGCGGTCTCTTTCGATCTAGAAATAATTTGGCCAAAAGAAAATCTTCAGATAACACTTAACAGTCATGCAAGATTAATAGGCATATCAGCACGAGGACTGATCAAGTCAAGATACTGCCATTTTAAAATGGATTTGGTGCCGCCGTGTTGCAGTTGGCTAATGACATCTGTCAACTTGAGGGAAAGAGTTTCTTGCAGGACAAGACTTGTGGAAATTTAGGTCGATTTGTCGGACAATTAGCTGTCTACCGTGCATGTTTAAGGTTGATCCATCTTTTCTTCATTTCTTTTCATACTTCGTCGTCCTCTACATCAATAGTTTGCTCATGACACTTAACTGTTACATAAACAGATCTTAAAGGAACAATCTCAGTCTGTATGAAAGTCTACATTTTCCCGGACAGAGGATGTCAACGCATGTAAGAGACCGAAGACCAGTGCCGATTGACGACTGGGTCAGAAATCAACAACTGGGTTAACCTTCTTTCTGGAAGAACGTGCTGAATAGGAGTTCACCTTTGACATGGCCTATTATGGATTGGAACAACTTTCCCGGAAGCTGTGATAAGATTTGTAGACCGGAGTTATAAGGACTAATTGGTCGACCCTATCACATGCTGGTGTGACATACCACGTTCATGGTATCTACTATTCAAGAATGTCATTCAATCCAGTATACCTTCGACTCCACAAAGAAAATTTCAATCCAGCTCCTCAAGAAAAAGGAATCGAGCCGAATCGCATCATGCTTGAGTAGCTCGAAATTTATTTTTCAAGTCGAGCTTCGATATAGAAATGGAAAAACGACAAACGGTCCGTGATCTTTTGCCAAATATGCAACATGGTCCCTAAACTTTTAATTTGCTCAACGCAGTCCTTGAACTTTAGCCCAATATGCAATGTGGTCTATAAACTTTTGATACATATTCAATTTAGTTCATAAACTATATGAAAATGTTTAACACTGCCCCCGAACTTGAAATGATGGAATGATAACATTGAACATTCTCGTATAATCCGAGGAATGATTTGAATATGTATCAAAAGTCTAGGACCACATTGAATAAATTAAAAATTCAGGGATCACATTACATATTAGGTCAAAGTTCAACGACCGATTTTGTCGATGGATTGTTGACAATGTATGGGGCTGGAAGCTCATTACTTCGGCACGGATTTGCTGTTCACATGTAAGGGGCATCTTTTTGCTAGTTCTTTATTTGATTTCATTTTGATTGCTTTCTGCATGACTGATTATTGCAAGTAGTTCCTCTATCTATTTTTTATTCCTTAATCATGTGTCATGTGATTTTGTTCATGTCATTGTGCTTTCTTTGATACTAGTGGTTCAAGATTCTGCTTATATTTTGATTGTCTAAGGGCCCACTATGGAAACCCTGTTTCTAGAATCCGTGGGAGAGAGGAGCTTTCCTAGGTTTCATTGTCTTTTTGGGTGTGCTCAAATTATGAGGAAGGCTAGTTACAAGCTCTTTTTCAGTGTTGATCTGACAGAGATTAGGACATTAACTTTGCATTATATGTTCGATTGACAAAATCTGCATTTTCTAGAGTTCACGACTGATTATTTTTCGTCTTACTCATCAACTAATGAAAGTGGATAAAATGGTGCTTATAGCTTGGAAAACGGCTGCAGTGCTAGTTTGAGCTTGGCATGCCCAATTACTTGTGTTTTCCCCATGATGATATCTTTGATCTATGGCTGTAGTTAAAAAGAACGTAACACGTAATGCACTTCTTTTGTATGGGCTCCCATTGAAACTTCAGTTTTTCTGCACATTCGATTCCTAATGATAGGAGATTGGTTAACGAGTTGTCTGCGCACATTTTGAACTAGATTAACAGATTAGATCCAGTATGAAGTATATGTTCACTTCTGATAAGAAACTTCTCTTCTTTTGTAGGTACACTGCCAATAAATCGATGGACAACTGTGCATTCTGCAATGCTGATGGTGATTTTCTAATTGTTCCGCAGAAAGGAAGTGAGTGCATTTAGGAATTTTGGATGTCATTTTCCTCCTTCCTGAGCTCTCGTACTTTCTACCTGCGCTTACTGCTTGCCAAAATACGAAAGAAGTTTTACTTGATAATTGCCATCTCTTGTTGAATGACGTACTCCGTGTATATAGAGGTGCTCTGCAATACTAGAATCGATTTGAAACTAAATCTCGAAACACACTAGTGATAGTCATTTTCCTTTTACACCACATTTTATTAAGTGGGGATCCAACAAGGAAGATATCTCACTCTTCGAACTATTGTGTAGGGTTGTGGATCACCACAGAATGTGGAAAATTGTTGGTTTCCCCTGGTGAAGCTGCTGTTTTACCTCAAGGATTTCGATTTTCTGTGGACCTTCCAGATGGCCCATCTCGTGGCTATGTTGCTGAGATATTCGGCACTCATTTTCAACTTCCTGATTTGGGACCGATAGGTATCAGATGTTCAATTAAATTTTCATGTTAATTGATTAAAGTTGAATTATCAGCTGTCAAGGCTTCACATGACAAAGATTTCTCCAGGTAGATGTTGAAATTACTACATAGTGAGGATGTGGGTTTTGTTTCTGTTAGATGCTGGTGGTAAGCTCTCGAACAAACTGTAAGTAGATTAACTTACATAGGTCACCGATTCTCGATCCTTTTGGCTGACAGGCAACCATCGCTCGAGGAAACGCGGCAGGACCCCATAGAATTACCGATACCATGGCGTTCATGTTCGAGTCGTGCTTAAACCCGCAAGTTCGCCATTGGGCACTTGATTCTCCCTCTGTCGATCCTGATTATTACCAGTGCTGGATCGGACTCAGGTCCCACTTTGAAGGGATGAAGATTGAAGGTCACGATACACAGAGCGGACGTGCAGAATGCAGATGTCTAGTTCATGCTGTCGTGGCTTTGTATGAGAATGGTTGAGCAGGACGGTAAAGGGACACAGAATCGAACTACCTCCAAGTAAATAACAGATATAGATTATCGTACATAGTAAGCGTCTGGCATATGTGACACAAAACTTGCGGCCGTTGGACGTCGGCCATCGGCCAAAGGGGAGAGGCCAGTGAGCCTCGCCGTCGTTGGACACTGACGAGGCCGACCTCGCCCTCGCGAGCAACTACGAGGCTTGGTCTAGCCAGTGGCCGGCCGGGGCGAGGCTCGCCCAAGGCTGACAAGGTCGACCACGTCGGTCCTCCCCTCTGGTCAGTGGCTGACGTCCAGCAACCGGCTAGAAGAGGAAAGAGGGGAGAAAAAAAAAAGAAAAATAGAAAAAGAGAAAAAGGAAAAAGAATAGAAAATAAAAAAATCGAAAAATATCAAAATATTATTAAAATTGTCCACGTAGGCCGGTCGGCGTCCACGTTAGCACTTTCCGACCGAAATTGGCCGAATGGACTCAATTGGCAAGAAGTAAAAATGTTTAGGACTCAACTGGCAAACTTGAAAGGTTTAGGACTGAATTGGTAAAAGTGCAATAGGTTTAGAACTTTTTGGACAATTCTCCCTAGAAAATACTCGGTCTTTGGACGTCAAAACATTGTAACAGAATCATTCATTATCACCACATGCCGGTCAATTGACCCACATCTTACTAATCACTTGGTCCATGAGATACATTTTTACCTTTTATTTAGGTAAAACTGCTTGCTAACCATGGACTCTATCGCGTAGATGATAACAAAGAAACGAAAATCAGCATGAGCTCGAGAATCAATAAAAGACATGATAGAGTCTAGATAGATCGGGTTCAATCCCGGCCATTGAGTTGCATGGGGCTCGCATGGACTTACATAACAAACATCTGCGAGTCCATGTCGACTCGAGTCTAGATATGTATATGCCCTCTAATTGTCTGAAGTCCATTAGATAGAGACTAGCATTTGATGACGACCGTCGAATGGTCTTTCCATAATCCACCATCGTGCGTCCCTGATGGTGGCCACGTAAATCTTCGATATTTCTATTGGGCTTCTATCAGCCAGGCCCAAGACAAAAGCCCAGGACCAATAAACTACCGGAAGCCCACAAAGGTGAAGCCTATTACTTGGAAAGAGCCCAAATTTGATCCATTAGCTTATGAAGGCACCCGCCAGCCCACGAAAAATGTCGGCGACCAGGAAGTCGGCCGGCGACCAAGGACATTGGCAGCTGTCAAGAGTGGGCGAGCCGACCTCCGATAGGTTGAGAAGTTCCGATTCCTGCACTACATCAAATATTACGAGGTCGAGTGCCTATAAGATAAAGAGCAAGACCAGCAACTCGCTAAGTAAAGATGCCTTGAGAAAATCCTCTCATTATTTTGGCTTTCCACAGTTATCTCGTTCTAACTTAAGTGTCCAATGGACCATCCGGGCACAATTACGGACTCCAAACATATAATTACAACTTCAATGATCAATATGGAATAAGCTAATTTAACCAAAATCGGCAACATAAAATTCTCAAGCGGTATGTGTACAGTCCTCCTAGGAATAATTCAGGACATCATCAAGAATATAGACCAAGAGAAGAGACAGAGGGTACAACAAGTAAGCCAAGATTGATGTCCAAACTGGGAAGGTTGACCTGAAACTTGCAGTCAGACCCACCACACAACACACGATTAGCACCACAAGAACTTCAGCAGAGAATTCCCATGTCAAGTCGCGAGCGTATATCAGCGACAAGAGGACGCAGAAGCCGAGTATGTTGCTCATGAACACCTCTCCATAGATCTGCATTACCGCATAGGCAAAACCAATAAACATGTTAACTCGCTTGTCCTATCTAAAAACTGGTCTGAATCAACATGACGATGCATGGTCACTAATCTAGATACACATTCTGTTTCGATGATGCGAAGAAACATCAAGTAGTACTGTCCAATCTCACAATATAATTGAGAGGGTCATAATAACGGGCGAGCAACTTGAGGACATTGAGAAGGTGCTAGCTTCCTACTCCTACAGCACAAAGAATGTCCTTGATATTACAGAATCAGTTAACAGACCTCGGAAAATGTTAGAGAAGTGGTTCGCGCCTTCTTATTTCTTGCGGCTTTGATTGCTGCAATAGCTCCTCTTGCATTTGTGGCCAGAGGAACCAATATGAATGAGATGAAGAAAGACGGTACACCTGCTGCTTTTGAAAAACTCTGCACACTGGAAATGAGAGGTTCTGCAAGGACCGATAATATGATAACTCCGAGCAACAACAATGATAAAGATTTGACCCAAATCCACCACGACTTCTCTTCATCGCCTTTTCCCTTTTCCTCATCCACCAACTTGTCAGTTTCTTCCCAAGTTTCCTTGCATAATCAAGCCACAATATCATATGTGTGAAAAGAATTATGGCAGTATCCAACATTGCGTTAAAAAAAACCGAGTTATAGATAGCCTTACTTGGTAGAAATCATCTCGACTGGTGTTTAACTTAGGCGCTTGGTTCTTATTGCCTTCAACTGAAGGGTCGAGCAAATTCGCCAATCTGGTAACGAATTCCTCCTCAGTTATCTGGCCGTCTCCGCTTCTGTCAAAAACATTGATGACCTTTAAAACTACTTCGTCCACGTCAAAAGGTATGTCACCAAACTTGACGCCCATTATTAGTTCCTTCAGCTCAGATTGTGATATGGTATTGTCTCCATCGCGATCAATCTGTTCGAATAATCTGAAACCGAAATGCAGGTAGTCATAATTCATAAGAGAATAACTAGCTAATTAGTTTCCTCGATAAGTTACTAATAGTAGCACATCGGAAAGTAATCAACAGAGCCCAACCTTCTAATAGCAGGTAGATCAGGTGTGCCATTTTCTGTGAATAGGGTTTCAATGGACTTGGTCTGTACATGCCCAAGAATTTCTGCGACTCTTTGCTTTTTCAGTTTGCGCTCTTCCTTTTTCTTCTGAATGAAAGGTTGAAAGAGCTGGAAAACACTTCAGAACAGTTTAACTGCACATTCATCAGAGAAGGTAGATTAACTTGCAGAATTCATCCCCTCAAATGCAGAATTACCTGATACCAGTCCTTAAAAGATTTTTTCGAGTAAGGTTCCTTGTCAACCGCAACCTTTGCCTCCTCGAGCCATTTTGTGAATCCAGCGACGAATTCGTCTTTGCTTATCCTTTGGTCACTGTCAATGTCAAATTCCTTTATAACTTCATCTACCGCTTTATCTTTGTCCACGTGCACGTGTTTGAACTTGATTTCTAGCAACAGCTCTTTTAATTCAGATGGCGATATAGCATCGTCCCCATCTTGATCGATTTCTTCAAATAGCCTGCATTATGCAGACTTTGTTAGTACCAATTAGAACAACACCGTCTTGCTCATATCAGGCAATGAGACATGCTGTAGAATGAAGACTAGCCTCCTTATAGCATGGAATTTTGGCACTCCATCCTCTGTGAGAAGTCTTTCTGATGCATTTCGTTCAAGATGTCGTATGATTTGAAGTATAAGGTGCCCATGTTTCACATACTCGAGTCTTCTCTTTTGAATCCACGGCTGAAATATCTGAAACAAGTGGCCAAAGCAAATGCGCACGTAGACATTTAATCTACTTGAAGACATTAGTTGTTGATCTCTCAATGATCCCAAAGATTATGGCACATGAACATAAAGCTGAACTATGCATCTTATCTCTAGGCATCTAGCTTTTGAACACTAGGCTCAATATCATTATTGAAGTTATGGATGCCTCAAAATTTATGGCTTTTAAAAGGCTCCATGCTATGCTCAGCAATGTACATAGACAAACGGGCATGATTTACCTGATAGAAGAAGTATAAGAGCAGCAACCCAACTGAAACAGCAAGAGCACACAGGATCACAATGCGTTGAGCCGAATATATCGAGAAAATTTCTGGGATTTGTATCATGATGAATGGTATTGCTGAGAATACCATTATCCTGGCAGTGTAGCTAGTCTCCAAATCAGTGATGATACTGGAGCCTGTGATCCCGAATAAGAAAGTTAAATCAGATTCCTCTCTAAGTTTTAGATAACATCACCAATTTTCTCTCTCTTTTGCTCTTCGAGCTATTCCTACGGCCATTTATGCATTAGCACAAAACTACATATAAAGGTCATCCATTCTGAGTATTAAGAATTTCAAAGAATTTAGAGGATTGTTAGGACAGAAAAACATGACTTGAAAGCATACGAATCAAGTTGAAGCATGTGCATATAAATGAGAAATGCCTGCAAGAAGATAGAGAGGATCTTTGCAACAGCAGTATTAGAAACAGAACCAAGTGAGATTCGTGTCTTGAAAAGTTTCCTCTCGATAGACTTCAGTCTCTGATTCTTGAATTTTCTTGAACTATGTACAGAACCTTATATTAATGTATATTCCAACAATATACTCTTCTTTCAAATCTTACATGATGAAGTCAATGCTCAATGAAATTCTGGAAATACTACCTTTCAAGGAAGACAAGAACTTCTTCCACGAAATTTTGCTTGAATTTGAAGTGTTGCGCTCCATTCCATCACAGAACTCTCTGCTACCAAGGAGGACGCAAGTTCCCCATAACAATGTCAGAAGCAGGATCGAGGATCCGGCCAGCAAGCCAACACCGGTCACGACATATTCCTGTGCCACCTCTTCGCTGTTTAGAAGTCCGGATGCTGAAAAAAAGCGGGAAAATGATAAAATGAAGGTACATTCTCTCCGCAATTGAGGGTTTTGTGAGATGTAATTCGATACTATAGGTTTCATATTCAGCAATTATCTCTTCAGTGACTTTGAATGATAAAACTTCAACTGTAGAAATGATTGGAGAGAGTGACTGGAGGTTATTAGGAAAGGGAGAGTTACTGTGATGTGCAATCAGCGTACTTGATTGAAAAAAAATTAACAATGCACAAGATTTTGCAAATGTCCAACTCATGAATAAAGGAAGGTCCACTGTCCCATGAAAATCCCAGCATTACTATTTCTCTTCCAAAACTCTACTCTGTCTTATCTTTTACACGAGTTTCTTTTTCAGCTTCCTCCTTTCTTGAACTGCTGATTTCACGTTACTCATGGTGTCGGAAATATTCTTCAACAATAACTTTTACACACGATAAAAAAAATTCAAAAATCTAAATAATGTGAATCTGATTTACAGAAAAGAGCAATTGGGATACAATATCATTCAAAATTGACAGAAGATGATAAGGTTCCTCTTGCGTTGTATACAAGTTGCCAAGTGACATTTGGAAATTGAATGAGCCAAGAGAAACCTTAATACTACCAATAGTCAAGATTCATACATGGTGGCCCTGCCATGGCAACTTGAAAGATTTGGTCACGTTTGGAGGCATAGGCCAGCTCCAACTTCTTGCAGAAAGCATCTCGACTCAAAGCTAGCTTTTGATGATCAAGAAACTTGCACTGACACAAATTTTGCCAACGAGCAGCAATTTTTCATTTAATTCCATTTACACCATACTTGTATCTTGTTCCTCTCGGATTCTAACTCGGGAAAGTTCAATTTTACCGACACGTCTTCAATTTACAGTGAATTTTCAAGAGTTCATTAGCTCTCATAGTCCATCTTTTGCATCTTACTAAATTAATTGATTAAAGCACAAACTCGGCCAACTAAGAAGAGGCAGACGATGATGAACAGAGCAGAAGAAAGATTTTGCAGAAAAAGGCTATGGAGATGCATACCTAGAAGTATTAAGGACTCTGGTAGAGCACCAAGGACATGGAATGCACTGGCACCAAATATTCCAGGACCGAGCATCTTAAATATCTGCTCGCTCCCGGAAGCAACGTAGGACTCCCCGTGAAACAGCAGATACTCATAAACCAATATCAAGAACAGGTGACCTGCTGTGCTGTACGAGCATGGCAAGAATCCATACATCTGCTCACAAACTTCAACCTCATCGTCCCAAACACCCGCTGTTCCTTTGAGAAGAAGCAATTGAGATGGTTCATTATGCTGATCATGGCCACGATCAACGCCATCTGAAATTAGCCGCGAAGAATCACCCAGCAGAGACCGGCCATCGATTGTCGAGATTACTATAAGAATTGCAACAAGAGTGAAGATGCTCCGGATGCACATCATATGCAGAGTAATGCATATGCTGTGTTGATGAATTGAAAAGAAGAGTTCAATACTTGAGGAGGGGAAGATCAGATCGGTCTGTTGCAATCTTGAAATAGCTTGGCCAAAAGAAAATCTTCAAACTACAGTTCAGTTAACAGTCACGCAAGACTAATGGGTATATTACTAATCTAGTCAAGATACTGACATTTTAAAATGGATTTGATGCCGCCATGTTGCAATTGGCTAAAGACATCTATTAAATTAAGGAAAGAGTTCCTTGCATTACTAGACTAATGAAAATTAGGTTGGTTTGTCGGACAATTAGCTGTCTGACCGTGCATGTTTCAGGTTGATCCATGTTTTCTTCATTTTTTTTTTCTTTCCCTTTACGTACTTCGTCGTCCTCTAGATCAATAGTTTACTGACAACACATACACTGGTGCATAAACAGATCTTTAATGGAACGATCTCAATCTGGGCGAAAGATCACTATTGCCCATACAGATGATGTTAAGACATGTCAGAGACCAAAGACCCAGTCCTTATTGATGACTGCCTCACAAAGCAACGATTGGGTTAACCTCCTTTTTGGTTGAGATGCTGAATAGGAGGAGTTCACCTTTGACACGCCTTATTATGGATTGGAACGACTTTCCCAAAAGCTGCGATAAGAGCTGTAGACCGGAGTTTTATAGGACAAATTGGTGGACCCTATCGCATATTGGCGGGACATACCGCTTTCATGGTATCTACTATTCAAGAATGTCATTCAATCCAGTCTATCTTCAACCCCCCAAAGAAAAATCCGGTCCAGCTCCTAAAGAAAAAGGAATCGAGCAGAATCGCATCGAGCTTGAGTGGCTCGATTTATTTTGCGAGTCAAGCTTCGACATAAAAATCAATAATAGTACCTGAAGATGAAGTCTTCCCAATTATGGGTTTTGTGTATTTATTAATTCGACCTGTTCTCGAAGCAAATCAGTTTAACAAAAGGTCAAATTAAACTCTGATCTAGGATTGATTTTTGATGTCTATATACTCCAGCAAAATCATTAATTATCAAAGTAGGAATGAGCAACATTCTTTTCTTTCTATGTAAACAAGGAATAAGCAATATTCCATCCATTGCAAACCTTAGGTGCTCACGTTTACAATCACAATCTAGTACGCTACCCGCAATGAGGTAACAGACTAGATATCATGTCATAATCATTTAATCACCTCAAAGAGCAACCAGAGTATCGAAAACCACAGCAAGTTTTGTGTCACATATGCCTGACACTTACTATGTACAATAATCTGTATCTGTTATTTACTTGGAGGTAGTTCAATTCTGTGTCCCTTTACCGTCCTGCTCAACCATTCTCATACAAAGCCATGACAGTACGAGCTAGACATCTGCACGTCCGCTCTGTGTATCGTGACCTTCAATCTTCATCCCTTCAAAGTGGGACCTGAGTCCGATCCAGCACTGGTAATAATCAGGATCGACAGAGGGAGAATCAAGTGCCCAATGGCAAACTTGCGGGATTAAGCACGACTCGAACATGAACGCCATGGTATCGGTAATTCTATGGGGTCCTGCCTCGTTTCCTCGAGCGATGGTTGCCTGTCAGCCAAAAGGATCGAGAATCGGTGACCTAAGTAAGTTAATCTACTTACAGCTTGTTTGAGAGCTTACCACCAGCTACCGCATTCCCCGACTGTAGAAACAATCATTAAGGAAAACTACCTTTACAGTTGTCCTATCAATAGAAAAGAAAATTAGAAAATAAATAGATAGCTGCTAGCTGCCAACTTGGGGAAAACTCAGTACTATATCACGTTCCCGAAAGCTTTCTCAGTGTAATTCTCAAATTTCTAGCCTCTGAGTCCACTCCTCAATGCCAAACCACTCAAACAATGATATGAAACTCTACTTTCAAAATGCATTTTCCAGTTATCCTCATTTAACAGTTGAAGACGATAAAATTCCATTGCTTCCAGGAAAAAATCAGCGTAGCTAAATGCAATAGCTAACCTCATAAGTCTTGGTATCAGGACCATGTGGAGTCATACAGCTGTGAAGGCTAGCACCACCTGGGAGAAAACCGTCAGCTTTTGCCTGAAGAGAATTAGTATTCAAGTCAAATACATTACGACCAAAATGAAAGAGCTTAACCAATCAGAAAATTAAATCAGTCAAGAAAAATGCCAAAATTTATGGAATGGTTTTAGCTTCAGATTTAGAATCTTTCCACAATGGCTCCTCACCTCCTTCCCCCCTCCACCATTAAGAAAAGGACGGATACAACTCTTCAACCGAACCACAAAGCTTTATTGGATATGCAAATCCTTCTCTTCATTAAGTTTAGACTATAGAGCTTTTCCAAGTTTTATATACTCTTTAAGTTAGCAACGCGACCAAAGAAGAAATTACCTCATATCCACCATGGATAAGGCCCATAAATTCACTCATGCAATTGCGATGGTAATACGGAGGTCTGAATGTATGTTCTGCAACAACCCACCGAGGAGGGAATATGACAAAATCCAACAATGCCACTCCAGGTTTATCAGTTGGTGCTGTCAATACTGCATTATAATCACTGGGAATTCAATAAGCCCATACCCCATATAAACCTATAAATAGGAAAAGCAAATTGCTAAAAGCATAAGGACCCATTCTGCATACCAGTGTTTACTGATGGATCGCTATGATCAAATAAGACGGTATTATAGGGACAAAACTTGCTCAGGTCATACTGTGAGGAAATACAGGAACACACTCCAATTAGCTATTTGAAGATGCAGTCTGATTGATTGCTTATTTCAGGTATAATTCAAACTTGGACATAGAGAATCAATTAACAGCACAAGAAACAAGGTCTGCTAATTTCTTCATATAGAAATGCCACATTACTTCATTCCCATAGTCGAAAGCAGAAGCAGTGAGTATTCACCTTATAAGGAACATAGTTTCCATGCCATGCGGCCACGTTAAAAGGAGAGAAGTCCTGCTTCGCTGTAAATAGTTGGCCACCAAATTTTTGTATTATAGTGTACCCAGGACAAGACTTCTCTTCAAACCAAGCTTTGGGTACAAGAAAGTGTCTTGGATCAGCAAGACCATTGGCACCTAACAGAAACAAAACCCACATCCTCACTATGTAGTAATTTCAACATCTAACTGGAGAAATCTTTGTCATGTGAAGCCTTGACAGCTGATAATTCAACTTTAATCAATTAACATGAAAATTTAATTGAACATCTGGTACCTATCGGTCCCAAATCAGGAAGTTGAAAATGAGTGCCAAATATCTCAGCGACATAGCCACGAGATGGGCCATCTGGAAGGTCCACAGAAAATCGAAATCCTTGAGGTAAAACAGCAGCTTCACCAGGGGAAACCAACAATTTTCCACATTCTGTGGTGATCCACAACCCTACACAATAGTTCAAAGAGTGAGATATCTTCCTTGTTGGATCCCCACTTAATAAAATGTGGTGTAAAAGGAAAATGACTATCACTAGTATGTTTTGAGATTTAGTTTCAAATCGATTCTAATATTGCAGAGCACCTCTATACACGCGGAGTACGTCATTCAACAAGAGATGGCAATTATCGAGTAAAACTTCTTTCGTATTTTGGCAAGCAGTAAGCGCAGGTAGAAAGTACGAGAGCTCAGGAAATAGGAAATGACATCCAAAATTCCTAAATGCACTCACTTCCTTTCTGCGGAACAATTAGAAAATCACCATCAGCATTGCAGAATGCACAGTTGTCCATCGATTTATTGGCAGTGTACCTACAAAAGAAGAGAAGTTTCTTATCAGAAGTGAACATATACTTCATACTGGATCTAATCTGTTAATCTAGTTCAAAATGTGCGCAGATAACTCGTTAACCAATCTCCTATCATTAGGAATCGAATGTGCAGAACAAATGAAGTTTCAATGGGAGCCCATACAAAAGAAGTGCATTACGTGTTACGTTCTTTTTAACTACAGCCATAGATCAAAGATATCATCATGGGGAAAACACAAGTAACTGGGCATGCCAAGCTCAAACTAGCACTGCAGCCGTTTTCCGAGCTATAACCACCATTTTATCCACTTTCATTAGTTGATGAGTAAGAGGAAAAATAATCAGTTGTGAACTCTAGAAAATGCAGATTTTGTCAACCGAACATATAATGCAAAGTTAATGTCCTAATCTCTGTCAGATCAACACTGAAAAAGAGTTTGTAACTAGCCTTCCTCATAATTTGAGCACACCCAAAAAGACAATGAAACCTAGGAAAGCTCCTCTCTCCCACGGATTCTAGAAACAGGGTTTCCATAGTGGATCATTAGACAATCAAATTATAAGTAGAATCTTGAACCACTAGTATCAAAGAAAGCACAATAACATGAACAAAATCACATGACACATGATTAAGGAATAAAAAATAGATAGAGGAACTACTTGCAACAATCAGTCATGCAGAAAGCAATCAAAATGAAATCAAATAAAGAACTAGCAAAAAGATGCCCCTTACATGTGAACAGCAAATCCGTGCCGAAGGAATGAGCTTCCAGCCCCACACATTGTCAACAATCCATCGACAAAATCGGTTGGTGCCTCGGGAATTTCTAAAGGCTTCCAACGCAATTGAGTCGGAGTCGCAGAGCTATTGGACTGGTTGAACTCGCTAAGAAGCTTCTCATGTGCTGGAACACGGGGCTTAAATGGTTCGTGCGTGACCGAAGGTTTGATCCGATATAACCAACTGCTCAATGGCAAAGAACATCAGTCACATAACGAATAATTAACCGAACAAATCCACGGCAATGTACCAACATCAATGTGTTTGTGATAAGCACTTTTTCTAAAATTGGGACCACAGCGACTTAAGTACAGTGCAAATGAGCACACATTTACCAGAAGAAGCAAGCACCGACACAAAAGTCGCTAGATGATATCAAACAGAGTCGAATTCACATGACCTACACCTTAAGAACAAACTGCCGCAACACATAAAGAACGATTTTTTCATGGTAAGAAACAGGTCAACGATCGTTCAGTCTACTCGCACGAGAAGGAAAGAAGCACATGGACATCAAAAATTGCAAAGTACGTCCCGGCGATCACCTGCGCTGATTGAGCTTGCGCGGAGAGGTGAAGGAGGTGCCGGAGATCTGCTCGGCGTAGAGCCCGTAGGGGCAAACCAGGGGGCTGTTCTGGCCGGGAGGGAGGGCGCCGGCGATCGCCTCCGACGAGAAGTGGTTGCCGAGGCCGGAGAGGTACTCGACGCCGCCGCCGCGATCGGAGGCCGCGCGTCCCTCCTCCTCCTCCTCCGCACGACGCGCCATGCCAACCGAGCCGGGGAATCCCGCAGAGGAACTGGAGGAGAAGGAAGGGTGCGCGAAACAGCGAGAGAGCGAGCTTGCGTTTCGCGTGTGACCCGGGAAAGCGGGAAGCGGGTATTAATAGCGGAGATGGACTAGGCGGGTGACGTGACATGGTGATCCGAACGCCGGGTGGTGGGAGCGATCGGAGAGACGTGTTGGGATTGAGGAGCGACGGCTGAGAAGAGGGAGGGAGAGACGGTGAGCGGATTGTCGCGACGCGACGGATTACGGAGTTGTTTTTTTTTTTTTTTCCGGCGATACGAAATATGAGGTCAGACAGAGAGAGAGCAAGCAAAAGCTCAATCATGTTCATCGACGACGATGTCGCCGAGGCATGTCGTGAGAGCGCGCTCTCGCGACATGATTAGATTCCGTGGGTATCGGCGTGCTTTGGATTGGGAATGATCTGCCAGAACAGGGATCATAATCCTAACTCGAAACTTAACCAATCGGGACGGGTTTCAAGTTTTCGAAATCCAATTACCATGGAACCAGCCTGAAATCAAGCCAGCTCATTGCCACATGCTGTGTCTGGAATCCTGATGCCACGTATCTATCGTAATGGTTTGAGGCTATGCAAAGCAATCAGAATCGCCTGAA